ACACATTGACTGCAGTTCTCATGCAATCAAAGATGAGTTCAATCGAGAGCTGACCGGTTTCTTGCTGAAAGCCGGAAGCATAAGTGTGGTTGTCGTGGTGATAGGCATGAACTGAGGCCGTACCACCTGCGGACTCCCACTTGGGCGGAACGACACTAGTGATCGCTGGTTGTGAGTTTACTCACACAACTACGCATTTGTATATAGCCAGATTATTGGCACAAAGAGAGATGGTGTGTGTGTGTGTGTGATTTGGCAACTACCAGGCCCAGCTCTACAATGGATACAGATACACCATATCCCTATTAGCTACGGTTGAAGAGGACTGGCGAGTGATTTTCGCCGTATTCACAGCATGTGGTTGGATGGTGATCAAGTGTTGGCTCGACCTCGATTACGTCTGAACCCGATGAAGTGAATCCCACAAATAGAAAACCCGTGAGGGTTCAATTCGAGGATTAAAAGGCTAAGACTATTTTCAACTAAGAACAGACCGTATAGATATCAGGCGATATCAAACTGAGTTGTCCCAATAGAACCGAATTCTATCTTCGCTCAACTGTCGAAACAAATACAAACATCTTGATGGGTTTTAGTTTGTTTCAAGCAATCGGTAGGAAACCCCAGACCAATATTTCGCGCTTGTCGGCCACCGTCAACTAGGCACCCCTGAAGTGTCGAAGACACCTATTTCGTCTCTGAAATCCGAACCCGTGTCATAAGGTGTTACAGTCAGCAAGATTATCACTGAGTTATTCGGGCTATTACTGAGCTCCTGTGTAACCATAAACGACTCCAACAATGAAGTAAGAAAGCATTAAGGGATATGAAATAATGAATACATGTGTATGTACTCCTGTAGGTCCCCTGTGTATTGATGGTAAATAGAAACAAATCGAATTTAGAATGACAAAGAAGCTACTCAACTGTCGTGAACACCAGTGGTCAACCCTGGCTACAGAGAGATATAAGACAGAAATGCAAGCTAGTAGAATGGTTTCTGTGGTAAGAACTTGGGTGGTTGTTGAGACTACAAAGAAGATGAAGCTGTGATTTGTCAACGGGAAGCATGACTGAATCGTCAAAAAGAACACTTCAGGCAACGATTCAACTATCCATTAGATACTTTTCGGTATACTTCTGTCTATTTATGGTCTAAATAGTAACACTATCATTGTTTCTCAGAATCTTACTGAAGTTAAGGAAGCCTCAAAATCCGAAAATCATCAAACCCAAATTGCTGCGCACCGGGGGTAAATAAGGACTCTAGCTGGGGTTTGTTTGTGGGGTTCACTTCAGTATTAGTTGGTTTATAGAAGTCAGACACGAATCACTCTCACTCGTCTCAATGAACAACCATCCCAGTCTTCGAGAAAAGAGGAAATCCTTTAGTGACAACTATCGAGAAATATATCTGGTAAGCGTTGGGTCCAAGATTCCAGGTTCTATAGTCTTAACACGCCTAAAATCATCCGCATATTCTAGGTCTAACGAAAATTCTCCTGCGATTAGGTCAACGTTTGTGCAGTCAGGTGACGAGAGGGAGACCTCCATGAGAATATCTCTGGTAAAACTGAATAAGAATGGAGAGAGTCGGTACCCTTGACGGACACCAATCGATGAGCATAGCTCCCTGGACATCTCACCAGAGGCTCTTACATGCCGTATTCAGAGCATGTGGTTGGATGGTGAACAAGTGTTAGTTCAACCGCACGTATATCTACCGCCACTTCCTTCCAAGTGATCGAAATGAAGTTACAGATGTAAGCATTGAGGTATAACTGACAGACTGCAGAGGTTAGTAAGTTTTGTAAATGAATCACCACATCATTGACAGGCTGTCGCTTTGAGATAAGTGTAATTCTTATTCTGAAGTCTTGAATGATAATTCAACTTAGATACATTTCGACTATACCATGAGGTTACGAGAGGTTTATTACTATTATAACTACTTGTCTTTTGGGTTTCTAGTGGGACATAGGGCTGAAGTTTATCACTGGGTAGGTCTAAATGAATAACGCACCGACTGTATCTACTATATTAACTCATAGTTTGTCGAAAATATTTTCTTGAGAAATCGTGTCACGAACTATTCGAAAAGAGCTAGTTGAAACTGTTTGATATATAGGTGTCAGCTAGGTACAGCTGTAGACAACCTTTAGTTTTTTTCAAGCTCAATGTTTCCAAGTATAATAAACTAAATAAACACGAATGTTAAGATTAGCTTGTATTTCTGCTTTTTTACCAGCTAATCAATATGAAAGCTGGTCAGCTGTGAGCAAAATAAATGAGGAAGAAAAACTGAGGAAGGAACAAAATTAAATAACGAGTAAACAACCAAACAGATAGAAAGTTTAAGACAACCATTTTTGATACATCGCTGTCATGGTGATTCTTCCTAATCAGTTGGTACTTTACGATGGAACAATTACAGGAATTTAGAAATGATACACCACCAAAAACTGTTCTGATCTTCTACACCAACAACTTAAAGTCAAAAGGAAGTAGAGTAACAACGAATAAATACGAGAAAAAGCAGACAAGCGTAACAGGTCAGCACATCATCACCGAGAGATCACTTAACATCTATTCAGTCTTTACTTTGATAAACCTTTAAATAACGACACATAATAAACCAAAAGTACATTGAAGTCGATGCACAGAAATGCGAATTTAGATACACAGGCGCATCTGATTAAGGTCGAAGATGAAACAGGATTTAAGAAGGAGGATAACAGTTCTGGTGATTATTGCAGGGAGATTGGATATCAGAAGATTCAGATACCCGGTTAATTTCTTAATCAGTTATACATAATCTTATATGAGCACGGTTACATATAAATAATCAACAAAAACTGTTTATTCTGTATTGAGATTTGGTGCTTGTGCAAATAAACTTCTGACAAAACAAAAATTCGCTAGGCTGAAAAAACAGTGGAAAAGTATAGGTCAGATTAGATTATATTATATATATATATATATATATATATATATATATATATATATATATATATATATATTATATATATATATTATTTTTCAGTGTGGTGGAAGCATACGTCAGAGATATAACATAGTTATAGGAAAATCCAAACAGATCATAGATTACTTAATAATTAAGGAAGTTTCATTCGGTGGCATAGAAGAGATGGACAAATAGACAACAGTAATTTAACTTCAAATCACGATGACGTTTTCGCATATGCAGCATGAGATACTTGTAGTCGCGCATAGTTCTTGTTGAGAAGGGTTTGTGAATATCGGAGGAAAGCAAATCATAAAATTAAATCAAAATAATCAATTGGAAAAAAAAACAGCAAAGTATTAACACACATAACAGAAAGTGGATTCCAAGTGATTATTCAAATTACATTCCAAATAAATAAATAACAAGCTAGTTATAATGAAGTTTCAATTAAGTTACAAAGCAGGAACACAAAGTAGACAGAGAAAACGATAAGGAAAAATTAAAATAAGACATGAAATCAACTGACTACAGCAAGAATAAGATAAGCTGCTAAGGATATGTTGGTCAATGAAAAAAAGGAGGAAGATAAAGCGAAATGACGGAAAGATCTTGTATGAAATGTTACACAAATGATTATAGGACCGAAACAAAATGAGGAAGGTAAATTAGAGTGAATTCAGATAAACAACAGCAATTGTGAATAAGTTATGTTTCAATTATTAACTATGAAGCAGTGAAAGACAAGCTAGTCCTGTGCAGAGCATTATATATATATATATATATATATATATATATATATATATATATATATATATATATATATTACATAGATAACAACGAATGAGAAGTACAGCGGGACACGAGGATTTCCAAGAAGGAGAATAAAATGATAAGTAGATAAATAAAACACACCCAACAAACAGCCAAGTGAACAGAGATCAATGACCAATATGGTCAGTCATATACATGCCTAAACAGATTCGCACAGAAGAAAACCCACAAGAAAAGCATCACAGTTGGTCACAAATAACAGAAATACAAATATGCAGTGTAAAAACTGGATAAAATATTTTTGGTATACATTTTATTCTTTTTTGCACGACAAAACAAAGACGTTACATTTTGGTCAAATAATACATGACATAGATTTGTGGAAGATGTTTGATACAAGGGAAGTTGAAAAACGAAGAGGAAAATAGACAAAAAAAAACGTAGTAAATTGTAAAATTATGCGAAATGCATACTGAGTGAAGCATTGCTTTTATGACTTTTTGCATTCAACAGATAATATAGCCTAATAAAACAAACAGATGATAACTTGAAGGATACATCAGTCTGAATAACAATCTAAAGAAAAGTTCCACAGCAATCAAGAAGGCTAGTAACAACAATACAACAGTGGAATACGGCCTACATTTCTTTACACGAAAATAATACACTGCATTTGCCTTGATTTGGTATATGGTGCATTGAAAAATCCAACACATTCATCACATTATTCAAGTGTCAACTAATAAACAAGTGAGAGAAGTGGAATGCCGCCAACTGCCCAATCCCACATTGAAAAGTAGCATGAATAAATAAATCCGTGAATGTAAGGAGAGATCAAACAAACAAGGCATAAACCAAATTGCGCATAAATTTTAGCCACTGGTTTTGTTAAAAGCAAAAAAATCCAGCAACGTTTTTTGCTGGACCATGTAACTGCCTCTTTCAATCATAAGAAAAAAGAATTGAGAAAAAACTAATTTGCATATTAACAACATGAGCAAAGGATTTGGCATAAAAGCATGAACGGAAAGAAGACATATCAACTTGTTTGAAAAATTAGATACACCTGATCTTTTTTTACTTCTTTGTATGTCACGAAGTTCGCTTAAAATAACACCAAAAGAAATCAATGGATAGACAAAAAAGTGACGGGGTCTGTAAGACATGGTTCCGTATTAAGGAGAAAAATTACCACTAGTATATGTATACACATAATTCCTCAATACACTTTTTTCTTTGATTTGAACAGGGTTTCTTGATCCTAAAGTGGGTAGTTGAAACTAGCGGATCCAGTTGAATTAATATTTGCAAAACCACCACCACCAGAGGAAGTTGATAAACACGATCGATGTACATGGACATTCTGCCAGCCTCGATCACTACGCCTTACCCAAACACGTGTTTCTTCAGTTTGCTGTGTATGTGGCATACCACACCTAAAAAAATGTAAACGATATAATTATTAAATCACTTTACGGAAGAGAGTGAATCAGCAATCACATGAAAGAATGCTTTATTTTACTACTGTTTAAATCAAATGAGAAAATCACTTACTTATCTAAAAACTGGGTGAGCCTTGTGTAAGCGATACAAGCAGCATCTTCACCCATTAAGTGTACAGTCGGATTAAGTATACTGGTATGAATAGCACGAACAACCGACTTTGGAATAACTAAAATGAAGAAATACAAGAGAGTGAAAAAGATAACTTGATAGGCAAGTAAGAGGATAAGTTATTAAAAAATTGACACCATACACCTCATTATTTTGATAGTAGTAAACTAGAAATCCTTATCTGAAAAACAAATATACTGTTGCATATGAAAGCGAGGAGCATAAACGGAAGACAAAATAAGGTGATGTACAATACGGTTCATTCAATGAGGCCAGAAGTTTCTTAAATCTAATTAGTCCGGTGCTCAAAACAAGTGATCGTGATTATACTAACAGTTCCAAAACCAACAGAAGTAATTCCATTAAGTGTGAAATTAATGGCAGTCGGAGTCAGTCGACTAAACTATCGTATTATATCCGATGTCAGATAAGTAAACTAAGTGAAAAAAGATGGGAAAACTAGAGGCAGGGAAGAAGTAGTCTCTGAAGACAAAAAAGACCAAGTTTTTATAAGCAATAATTAATACGATTCCGCTGGTTAGTCCCCATATAAATTTCGACAAATTAGAAAACGAAACTCCTTCAATAAGCTGTTTATTCATTTCGCAAGCAAACTAAAAGACACAAATAATCATTGTGTGGTAGGAAATAAATCAAACTATGTTCTATACATACGAACATTGAGAATAGGTATAAAATCTGATTTTTACTAAGCATATTTTGGTAGCAGGTTTTGTGATGAAACAGTATGCAGGTACAAAAGGACAATGCTTTTGGGTTAAATTTCCCCAGACCAACAAAAAATGTGTGGGGCGAGATTTTACAAAATGGAAAAGGTGTAATCTGATCTATGCAGCTGGGAAGCAGAATCTACTTGATCAAACTTGAAAATGAATCGTCCGGATTATAAGACATCTTCTACTCATACGACGTCATGACAGTGCGCTTGAGATTGCTATCAGATTGCTTTTGGAGGCAATCATGGTAGATCAGAGTAATGACGTGATAAATCTCACGATAACCGATGAAAAGTAACATACTTGCAATCATAAATGGGGGTTTACTTTAAACAAATAGAACAAACAAGTACTTTTTCAGTACTGCCACTCCACACGCCAACATGGGGGTGAAACCCATTAAGTAATTTCACTCACTACTGTGAATGCATCAAGACAGTATTAAGGTTTGGCAACTATACAACTTTCCTATAGGGGCACATAAAAAAGGAAAATCTGTTCAAAATCAGTAGAATATAATCAAGGAAGTGGTTCATAGAGAAGTTAGGTTTGAAAAAGAAGTTCCTCAGTTTTTAAGTAACAATCAAAGCCTATTGATTTATTCAGAAACATGGAGGCGACATGGATATAGCAAACCATTATTTATTTATAAACTACGGTCCAGCACAAATTTTCGGCTTAAATCGATACGCTTTACCACCAAAGAAGTTTTGGATCTGTTCAACTAAGAGAAAAGAAAGTACTAAATTTTGATTCTATATTGCAACCAATAAAGTAGACAGAAAATCAATGGAAATGATATACATGAGTGGACACCACCGTGTAAACACGCGCCAGTAAGTATATGTAACGAAACCAATGATGCGTGTACGCAAACAAACCATGATAACCGTTAATTAATTAATAATAAAAAAATACAATGAACAAACAATATGAATCTTCACAACAATTATAAAAAGAAATCTATTATGTTACATTGAAAAACAGATGAAAGTACAACTGAGACGTTTGCAGAATCAGTCATTTAAGGAGAAATAAATATACGAGAGAAAGACAGCAAGTAGTTTTATTGATAGCGGTATCATGAATAGCTGGATACCGAAAAAAGAAGTGTACTACCGTGAAATTCAGAATATTAAGCACAGCACGAAAGGGGAAAACTATTGAATTCACATGTTACCTTCATACAGGCAAATGACGTTATAGGTATTTGACATTTGTAAGCTGTTGAGTACTTCAGTGGGGGAAGTGTAATAAATGTATGTAATCGAATTGTTGAACATAGATGTTCACAAAATACCATCTGGATACCCGATGACAGCAATAACAGTGCAACCCTACCAGTGCAAAACATTCATAAATTTTGAATGTAACAAATAACGATAGCTAAAATGGAACCACATAACGCGTAACTATTCACGGTATCGACTCACCAGTTGAAGTTATTTTACTCTGTGATACTTTTTAATTAGGTGATCATTTGACTTGAAACCGGTAGTCAGAACATTTGTATAGTATACTACATATGCGTGTAAAATTCTAAAGAGGTGATAACACGACATTAAAGCTACTCCCTTGATGTGACGAGTAGAGAAAGAGATATTGTCTAAGTTACCAACAAACAGTGGTTCGATTTTATTGGTGACAATAATCACCTTGTTTCAAACAATATTTTTGACGTAATATGGAATTTTCAGCATGAAGTGGTAGCGAGCATAATCTTAGGTACTTCCAGCTTATCAGGGGTTGCCTGACTCAGTAAGGCACTTGACTGACTTAGAGTAAACAGATGCATAATTCTGTCAGGTCAAAATGCTGAAATAATTCCAATCTTCTGAACGCTTGAAGCGAAAATCGAAACGTTTGGTAAGCGTTTTACATGTGTCGAATTTAAGATGATGGATGGGTCGACTAATTCACTTATTTGGGAATTTACAACAACTGATATGGTTCACCTTCATTTGGGCTGAACTGGACATATGTTGCACATACCAGGGAGGAACTTAAAAACGATCGTTCACAGGGTCAGTGACTGTTAATATGAGTAGTGTAAGGAAGTTGCAGACTCCTAGTGGTATGGCAAAAAATGAATCACCTTCGAAGTGCAAAGCACTTTCATTAAACTTCCCCTTTTTATTCTCTTCTTCCAGTTTCTGTCTTTTCACTTCCTTTTTGAACGCTGTTGAGAAGCATGATGAATTGAAATGCTACACTTTGTGTTAGTTTGTCGGTTTACTGGTCATTTTGCTTGCTTGCATATCTCAATCACCTAAGTGGCTAAAATTGCTCCAATAATCGTTTATGTACAACTGAATATTGGTAAAAGAAAAAGCCACAATCACCATAGTCTAAATAAATTACGCAATGATTTATGTCTGGAAATGAGGTTGTACTGTTGACTGGATATAGATTTGATGGCAGATAACTGCCTTCTGTATTCCAGTATTGTTGCCTTGCCAAAACGTTTTACCAATAATGATAGAAGTATGGACACCCTAAAGGACTGTGATCAATATTGAGCAGAAATTATTGACGCCTCATCGACAGGCAAAGCTTAACTCATTCAGCAAGCTTTTCGCGAATACATCTACTTCTAAGGTGTAGATAACTCAGAAAAACAACAGTTCGACTTGATTTTACTGGTCTATCTTTATGTTACTTCGAACTGTGCATATTACTTTTCCGAGACATGAATATCTAACTTACGTAGCTATTTACCCGACCAGAACTAGTCAATGTAGTTTATCGGTGCGATTCAACCTGTGAATAAAGGGAAAGAGATGATGGGTGGTTGATTCCTACAATTTGCCGGAGTATGTTTAGTGTCTAAATCCAACAGCAACATAAGTATTGCTCAATGGGATCCCACCTGACAATAGTCTATATACTGTCTGTCAAAGCGTTATCTCTGCGCTTGAGTTCCCTTACTTCAAGCTGATTATATAACGAATGACTTCGGACAAAAATTACTAGTTTCACTGCGAGACGTCACACCAATCGATAACATCGATGCCCAACCAAGGAAGCTGCGGCAACCAGGAAGGCATTTTGAAAAAATCTAAGGGAGATCATGTTGACAGGCTAACAACGGTAACCTTTTTTTACAGTTTTATTTCGATAATATGTTTTTGACTGGTACGAACTTCGAACAGAGAGGAAAATATTGTGCCACTTGGTAGTTACCGATTTCGAACCAACCCTGGGAAGAGATAGAACCTATCGCTGTAAGCTATTGTTAGAAAAGATATATGGAAGATTACCGGTTCTTTCAGAATAATTGAGAGGATTTCAATCACATATGCTGGCTTTTTAATTTAAAACATAACAATGTGGTTCGAAATCAATCGCTGTGGGCAGATGCATTTACTCTCTTAGTCGTTTCATTAACCCTAACTTCGTTCTTTTCTCTTTCACATCTTCATCACTTCATTCTTCCGTGGTTTCATCAAGTGTAACAACTTGAGTAGATGAATGTCCTGTGCAAAGTTTTACATTGATTTTTTCATTTGCTCATTCATGAATATTGACTAACTGTTTGTGTTCTAGAAGTTAGTAGTACTTCTCCTTGTAGACGAGAAAATTATTTTTTAAGTAATTTTATGTTTTAAGGTATTGAGCACAAAATAGTCGCAAGACAAGAAAATAATTTGTGAGACAAATTTGAGTTGGTTTGTTACATTCATTTTAGTCAACAAAAGTGATGTCATCTTATTTCTAATGAATAAATGTCATGTATGCACCATAAGCAAAAATGAGCATGATGATAGGAATAACCAGTATGAGTTAAACCAGTGTAAAATCAACACTGCAGGGCAGTATCAGCTTGAAAAAAATAAAAATTTTATCAGGAAAAAAAGATGAAGTAAGGTGGAGAACTCGTATAAGTACTATGATGTTCAAAAAATACACAAAAAGATTTTTTTAAACGGATTTATCTGTAGTAACGCAATCCACATAATCTGATATTTAGCCACCAGTGTTTGTTACATTGCATGAACAACCTTAATGCTTGAGTTTCGTTCACAGTGCAGAAAAGCAACCGGTTTTAACTTACACTCACCACTGATGCAATTAAGCGTTAAATAACGAGAGATATATAGAACTGGGTTGCCATATCACATGATCTATCATTTCATTCAATAATCTTATTCTTGCACTCTGTGTTTAGGCTCAAGTCATAATTTCGCCACACAATCAACACTTGGAAAGCAACATGTTGTCTATCTCCAAATGACAGTTTCAACATCCTGAATATATAAAGTAGATAATGCGTTGAGCTATTTTATTCCATAGTGTCATGAAACAGGCAAGTATAGAGATAAGAGCTGAAACATCATTGGACATGTGATAACTGCAAAGTTTAAATTAGCTGTTAGACTTTTACTCAAGGCAAAAGAAAACACTTTATCAGTGTTGTTTTTAAAATAACTACATCACTTGTGTGCTATGAATCAGTCAAAGGATCTCAGGTAGAAAGACAGGTCTTGAAATAGAAAGAGTTGCCTCAAAGTAAGATAAATAGAAGATAAGACAGTATTTACACGTAACTGCATGAGACTACGAATACATTGTTATTCGATACAACTGAAGGTTGAAAATAACACAAAAGTTACAGTGGTCAGTTTTGTTAAGTATTTGTGTTGACAAACGTACCATCGAATGTCTCTATCTTTTTGTCGTGACTGTTTAACAGAGCTTAAACAAAAACAAAGTATGATAAATTGTGCGATATTTTTAAACTATGTATATTGAACAGAATATAAATTGATAGAACAACGAAATAGGATGAAGTGTAGGTAAACAAGGTGAATATACTTACTCTGCTCAAAGTAGAATTTATGGAAATCCGCACCTTCAAGCAAATTCCCACATGCTTCGGGACCAAAATAGGTGAACTGGGAATCCAAAAATTTACTAAAGAAAAAAAGAAAATAGTTTGTAAAGATAATTTAATTATCACAAATTAACAATTTAGGTAGAAATGGAGTTAATAAAATAGTTAATTTCAATAAAGGTGAATGCATTCTTGCAAACTGACGCCTAAGAGATCTATGTGCTGACCGATGAATACATGACACTGACGAACCCTAAACTATTAGCGCAGTGACTTTCAACTGAACTTTTCAGTTCTTATTGTAAAGGTTTAGACAATATTTCAGTGGGGAAAAACATAACTAAAAAGTTACGAATACTATTCCTAGTAACTATGAATCATTATACGTATTTTGGAAATACCACTAAAAAGTTAAAGCTTAGATAGTACACTATCGGTCGGCAGCTGGACAAAATTTCATGCAAATCTATGCACGAATAACCCCTAAGCGTGACATTTCATATACAACAATACCAACAAAACAAATAATTAAATTTCCATGAATAAATGAACACTTCGAATTGTTAGAATTGATACCTTTTAGTGTTAAAGAAATTATGCAAGTTTCCCTTTCATTGACTAAGAAGTCTACCGGTAAAAACAAGTCGATACAGAAAAATCTAGATTTTAAGGTGGAAGAAAATAATTATTAACTTATAAACCCTGCAGTCGTCATCTAAGGCTGAGCCAACGATTGTGCCAACAACAGTACGCCGAAACACTGATTATATTATGCAACCTGTGTACTTACAGCAGTCGACACCGATATGTAGCGTTGTACTACGGTGTAAACATAAGTCAGTGAGGTTGTATCCCATTATGGTAAATAGATTGCATCAAAAGTAAGTCTGTGTTAAATTAAGATAACAGATGGTTGATTTGTCAGGAACTATCATTAAAGTTTTGATTGAATGACTGGACAGAGCTTGAGCAAAGAACGAAAGTTTCTAAATAACATACGAATTTCTGTCAAAAAACTATTTCAAATCATTACCAGCATGAAAACAAATTATATCCAAACTTGAATCATTGGACCATTACAGACTGATTTGCGTAAACTATTACATTAGTCCGTTAGAAATGAATGAATATTTACATATCACTTACAGGTATAGTTCGAAATCGCCTGCAGCTGCAGCTGCCAGTAGCTGTTCAGTTGCTCTGATAATATCTTGTTTTTTACCTGTGCAAGAAAAACAAGAAACGAATAGAGCTGCAAAGATCACGATCTTATCAGGATCTGCTATTGTTTCAATATTTTAGAAAAGTGTCTTTTGCTATCAATATGAAAATGGAATTAAATCTTACCCTCAGCTACTTTAAGAGACAGCTAAACTAAGAGAATCATAGCTGATATAACCGAAACAGGTTCATGAATTCGCCTATGAAGTGAAAAAATTATTTTTAAATAGTATGAGAATATCTTATATTCTCCATGAGGGAAATTCTGTGATCAAGCGATTTTTGCTATCCTTGGTTATAAAATCTCTTGTATTCTTGACATATATTTGATTTTTGTATCGAAACAAACATGAAAAAGCAATTGAAAAGAATATTCTTTGTTCATGAAATTTTTCTTTAGAAATCATTATTTCTTATTTACAGAGGATGAATGATTCATTATCATAACTACAGCTACCATCCGCCATTAAGAAGTAAAGATAATCCTTCGTAAAAAGTGCAAGCATATATTGTTCATGAGACTAAATTAGCTTGTATGCAGGGATTGGAGTGTTTTGTGATGAACTCAAGAAATAAGTATGAACAGATACTCAACAACAAAACAAATGAGGGGGGTAAACACCAGAAGTTGCAACGATTAAGTTACCTACATTATTACCATACATAAACTGGCAGTTGATTCAGCTTTCGAAGGAAAAACTAGTAAGAAACTGTCAAATAAAAGCATCATATCGCTTTGGACACACACTCTAACTGTGAATGCTTATATGAGATATTAGTCCGTCCTATCTCATGTATGAACCATTAGGTATGAAAAGTTCGGCTGAATGAGGCACCACGTCAACCTTCTGCTTAAACCAAAAACAGATATAAAATACTGACTGTCTAGAAAAGACAATCATACAAATATCACAATAATTGACAAGGAAGAGAGTATGAATAAAAAATATTAAAAAAACACAGGCTAAACTGGTATTTTCTCTGCAATGTACGAGAAACGATAATAACAAAATGGTGCATAATTATCAATACTCATCCAACAGTGATTATTAAACAAACAATAATTCAATAACAAATTCACTTGGTCTATGACACTATACCGTAAACATTCTAAACATATAGATGCATAAAAAACATTCAGTAGTTCATAAGTTCGGTAGAATAATTAATGATACTTGAAGGTTTTATCAAAGCAATAAATATATAGGAATAAACTCAGGGGAGAGAGTTAAGGAAGATAATAAAAACTACATAACGCTAAAAGTATTTCCTATTTTATGACTATGAATAAACTTTTTCAATTCCCCACTAGCTCGGATTCTTTCGGATCATTCATATGAATGATATGAAGCTTTAAGAAAATTTCATTGCAAGTATAAGAAGAATTCCAACTAGAAAACGATCAAAAAGACATAACATCTTCACACAGAAATTTAGATTATTGCATAGTAAACCAATCAGTTACCAAGGTAAGGAAACCACAATTACCTACTGAAAACACAATATCACTGGTAAGAAAGTAAGTAGCACTAGAAGACTGTGAAATCAACTCGTTTGTTGAAATTGGATAAGATTGACATCAACTGAGAATTGCATAGGACCTTATCCAAAGTTGTTTGAACATGGTTTATGACAATAAGTTAGGAAACATGAAAAGCAATAATGACGAATGAATTAAATAAGCATGGAGTAACGATGGGAATATTTCGAACTATTTGTCTGTTTTAGTGTTCTATCTTTTATCATTTACCATGCCACATGACGAAACGCGTTCAATTTTAATGATTTCGACTGGAATAACACGAGAGTTTTCGTTTATTCTAGAAGTTACGATTAAAACTTACATGTGTGAATAGGAAGCCATATAAACTAGTGTCAAAGCGGAAAATGGATTGAGCGAAAAGAGCGCAGTAGGGTCTGTAGGTTCAATTTGAATGTCATACTCTTCAAACAGACTATACTCTTGCTAACAGACCACCCAGGGATACAAGTCAATAATCACTCTGGTTAAGTGTTCAGTTAAATCTTGTTTATTACAGTTGTGATTGTGAATACTCATAGATGAAGATTTCAATGTATTGGTTATCCTAACTAAAGAGTGCACTAAAATCATCGGAAATCAAAAAATGAACAAATAAGAAAGTCCATAATGTGTTGCGAAAAACTTAACTGAAGATGATAATACTTCAAGCATGAAGACATTTTCGTGTAACAAATATTGTTGAGTGATTTCAACTTTATGTGGTGATACGATATTTATCCGAAATCTTCTTAGCCTCATACATTCATATGACTGTTTCCCGCCTTCTGACTTTTCTGTTTTTATTGTCCTAAAAATTCAGCATTCCTCAGGTTGAAATTTATCAGGGGACATCAAGTGTCTCTGTAGTCTGAGAAATCTGGTCAAGAAAGAAGTTTACTTTTTGTAGGACGATGAAGAATTACTGAAACATCTTGTTTTCATGGTTAGTAAAAGCCTGATAATTGCGAATGGAGATTGTAACGCAGTAGGAACTTTCGGGATCAGGTAATAAGCGAAATACTACGGAAAAAGCAAGGATTATATACAACCAGTTAACACAGAAGTGTTGTATTCTTTTATCGTGAGTTTCCACTTAGTCACTCAATCTAGAACGCTCATCAAATCGGAGAGAATATTCTAAAACGGTACTGTTAGTAATATAAGTTTTTCAAAGAAGTTTTTTCTATTTTGAAAACAAGAACTACCGTTTAAAACGAAAATATATATTACATGCAGAAGCCCCAGTTCATTCATTTACAACGAACAGACAAACAACAGGTTAACTGCAAACTGCATTTTAAAACATGCAAATAGTTGGTGTGAAATCCATACTACAATTTATTTCGGCATGTTATAATCCGAATAAACTAAATCCTTGGAGTAAAAAGATTATTATTTCAAAGATAATCCGAATTAATTAAATCCTTGGAGTAAAAAGATTATTACTTAAAAGCTAAAAGATAAACGTAAATATACTAAATGCAAAAGGGAAGAAAGATGGCACACTTGAGCAGATTTGAAAATATTCAGATAGACTAATTCGAGGTGTTACTGAGCGATGAAGAAACAATTTCTGAATATAACAACCTTCAAATGAATAAATACACTTGTTCAAAGTAGTGCTGAGTTGGTGTAGTCTATTGGCATTAATTGCGTACAGGTAAGAAATTACTTCACTTAATCGGTAATGTCGAAGAATAGAGCATTCAGTTATAAAGTGATTCAATTAATTAGCAAAGTGAACTTAGCATATGGAATTACGACGCTTTAAGGTTGACTGTCTCCTCAATGTTAATCGGTTGGTAAGCGAACTATCCATTAGTACGTGGGATATATACATTCTAATGTTCGTAAGAAATGTCCCATGTTTCTATGTATCCGAACAGTGAAGTTAACAGCTGCATCTAATGCATACAAGGCAAAAGCAAAAACATGGATCTGATGCCCAAAATGTCCAAGTGTAGAGAATATTTGATCTTGCAGAAGGTCAGGTAAGGAACTCCACACAAATGTGGCACAGAACTGTGGAATCCAACAGTGATAAATATTGCCTGTTGTAATTCCGATTCCTTACACAATAATACCTGGGAAGATGAAGTAACAGCTGCTTTTATTTACAAATCAAAGGAATTATACATGATACCAGTTGTCGAATAGATGTTAAAGGGAAAACAGCGTAAAAGCCTAAAGTTACGGTTAGTGTTTGGTAATATTTTTGAATGACAAGTAATAACAACGTCCAGCTATTTTGTAGAAGACTACCTTACAAAAGAAAACAGTATGCATAAAAATTAGGTGCCGAAAATCAAACGACTTTATACTCTATTCTTCATGGAAATGCATGCATTATCCAAGTAAATGTTAAACTGATATTCTAAACACAAACGACCAATGTACTCGAGGAGTTACTAAAAAATATCACCACTATAAGCTTAGGCAGTAGGATAAATCAGTGAAAAAGTAATAAATACCAAATGTTTTCACTTCTATGTAATGATTTTAAAATAATAAAATACACAAACTGCCGAATTCCAATGCGGCTGATGAATGATAATACTGTCCGACTAACCGGGAGTCTGAAAGAACTTTTTTTATCATTTCAGCTGAACTAACACGTATCAACTCTGCGAACAAACTACAAATGATCTTAGGATTCAATCAGCAGCAAGCCCTGTCTGACCTAGGTTTCGTGCCAATTGGTACTCATTAGTGAGATGCATAACTATGAAGAAAGTGGTTTCACCCGGTAGTTTGAATTTATGTCACTCAGTGCTGAAGTAAGCGACTTTTCCGCTGAACTATTCAGACCACGAGTGAAAAACGAATTGATTGAACAGCTGTCTCCAAGCATACAGGAAATGAAAACTACATAATAACTCTATTAGGCTGATTGCATCATGATATTAGCCTACTATCCATTAGTAGAAGTTATACAGTAAGTATTACAACATTAGTTTGGGCATGGTAGGTGGGTGAAAAGTGATTATAAGTTACAGGTTATTTGAAAAAGGAATTTTCAAGTTAGAAAATCAAGATAAAGAAGGATTATTAGAGGGAAAAACGAGATGAATAATTAGATGAGACAAATTTTTACAAGTTAAGCTTTACCTTTATTAGCTAATTGTAGAATACTAGAAGTAGTGAATCTTATTATCTGATTATATCCGAAAATTATTGAGGAAGAAAGAAAATGATAGTATACAACAAATATAACGTTAATTACTTAATATTTTTAGCCTATTACCAAACTAAACACCTAGACTCTGTGGGTGTATATAAAGGCACATCAGTTGAGGATATCTTTTCAGGATAAGCTAACCCGGTTTGATAAGGAGAATTTCTGTGCTTCAGTTTTATGTAGAGACATCCACAAATTGATAGCAATATTTAAGCATAGTACCTTTCATTATCCAATAATTTCTTTTATTACGTTGTAACAAATAATTTTGAATACCATGGTGAAGTTTGACTATGCGTCT